ATGAAGAGTCCTTATATATATTGATCTGTCATAAGAATTATATAATCAATATGAAGTCATGATTCGATCTTTTTATCAGTGTGAAAAGTAAACAATATCCCCATTTATAGATTAATTGAGATATATAGTAGTGTGGCAAGAGGCATTGATACATATAAACTGCATTATTGTAATAGTGTTATTCATTAAATAGTTGATAGTGAAAAGAAAATAATAATTATAAATTAAAAAAAAACGAAAAAAATGATTATTATCATCTACATAGCAACCATTATAAATGAAATCTGGCGCGCTCAAACGAAAAAGACATTCTCAGTTTTAAATTTGGAAATAAATAATGAATTCTCGTTCTTGACATCGATTATTAGTGAAAACAACTATAGTCGACAAGAAATTTTTCAGCTTGCAAATGATGTATTAGAATAGCATGGTTGAAGGATATACATGAGTTTCACATTTGAGCTTCCAAGGAGCTGTGCTAACAAGCTTTCTTCTGATTCAATAACGGAAGCACCCATATTTAGGGTGCGCAGATAATAACACACACGCCTGAAAACAGCTGAGAATAACATAGTAATTGGCAGTACAATCTAATCTGAAATATTATTCCTCATTCGAATTATGGATATCATGTTAACACTAGTATTAAAGAGAAAGGTAACACTTTTACATTAGCAATAACGGCTAAGACTACTGCTTCGGATTTATCGGTATTAGAATTCATTAATGCCAAGGTATTAGCACTAACTTAGCATTATTTTTGATTATCATAAATATACTCCATGAAGCATTAAGCAGGCTACTCGGACATGCAACTCATAGCTTTTCTGGTTGCAGATTTACATGCTACATGATCAAATGACACATGAAATGCTACAGATACCACTGGCAATGTTACTAATACCACATGAGCTGCTTTAGACATCGCCTGAGATACTCTAGGTAGCATACGTAAATAGCACTGGAAAGGTAACATGTAGCATGTCCTAGTAACCCCTGAAAAGTTATAAGCATCACGTTCAGACAGTCCCTCCAAAACTTAAATTGAATACATGTATTAGATTTAAAAATAATGCGCGCTCAGTGCTGCCCCATCGGCATCAATGAAATCTAATGCCAATTATTCTGAAGCATTAGTCTTAATAATTAATGCAAAATGGAAAACTATTACCAGGAGCATTCAATATTGTTGATGTCAGTTCTAACGTGACATCTCTAATTCAACCATATTGTTTGTGCTTCTGTACCTCAGTTATATGACAGCCCTACCCAAATTGTAGTTTTTAAATTAATTTTTTCTTCTGCCTATAATGTCGTCCATGCTCTCTTGTTGAAATTTTCATTTATATTCGAACTTAAATTAGACATCTACTCAGAGAAACAATGTACTCATAGTACTAGAAGTTGTTATGCATTTGTCTACACCACTTCGCGTGAATTTCAGGTATTTAACAAGTACTTTGAACTACCTCAGAATACTTTGAATAATTTGGTGTGGGTGTGGATGTGGTGTGAGTAGGTGTGAAGAAAAGGTCAACATCCACACCCACACCCACAGCCACATCCAAATCGGTATTGTTGAAAACCTAAGAGCTTCCAAACGGGTTTCGATTTTTCGGAGAACAAATTCTTTTAGAGAGTAGAAACTTGAATCGGATTCCAGAATCTAGTTTCGACTTATGTGAGTTGAAGCCGAAGCCGAAATCGCTAAAAGAAATAGTTTGGAGTTGGAGATATCATGAACAGGTGTTTTCGCAGTCAGTATCTGAGTTACAGCAGTGGAACAGTCACTTATTTCTATTCTTACCTAGCGATAAATTTATTCTTCAGGTGTTCAGTAATGAACAAAAATCTACCGTTTGATGGAGTCATAAGTAATTTTCAAGAAAACAAAGCATCAAAGAGACAATCTCATTAGCAAGTAGCACAAAAACAAATGTGTATAGTAAGCACAACAATTTTTCGGAGTTTCTCGATGTAAGAGTCGGATTTCGACGTGAAAAGTTTTTCACTACAAGGCTCTAACCTTCAATCCTCTAGCCCACATCACCACTTATACTTTAATACTTTGATGTAATCTCGAAGTACTTGCAAGCACTTTGAATCGCTTCTAAACACTTCGAGCTAGTTCTATATATTTTGAATTACTTCTATATACTTTGAATTAGTTTTTAACTTTGATATACTCTTCGTCTTGATGCATACCACTTCTCTCTAGGGTCGTTTCATGCTACATGCCGAGATATTTGTCTCAATGGAACTACATTGACAGCTGTTTGTAAGCGAAATGATGGCAAAACAGATTCGCATGCAACGCTAGATCTTAATTCATGCATTGCCAATATTGATGGACGTCTAGTTCCAAGATCTGGTGGATTTTTTGGTGGATCATGCATTGAAATTTGCTTAAGTGGCACAGTACTAAATTGCATGGCATATTGCATTAATGGTGATTTAGTTCCAGCTAAAATTGATCTTTCAACTTTCATCGCAAACATCGATGGAAAACTCGTTGCCCATGAATGAAATATGTAACCAATCCTCAAATAAACTGACTTAACATCCTTCTTTAAGTATTTTAAGCAATTTAAAACTATTATTGAGCGCAAAACCTAAACAATTTCTATCCTTTTCTTTAATAAACATTGAAGAAAATATATTCGACTTGCTTTGATATATAAAAGATGCAAAGAATGCCATTGTTCTGTTTTAAAGCTTTCTTCTAATCTATCTATGGTACCTCAGTCATAAAAACATGTGGTTGAGAATTAGGGTCTTTTTATGAGTCTTGATAGTGACTTGTGAAAAAGAGATAGAAAAAAGGGTGGGTGTGAGGTGGTTTCGGTGTGGGAGTAGATGGATGTGGGTGTTGGTGAGCGTGGGTGGGTGTGAGTGTGAGGTGTGGTGTAGAGTT